GGAAAGAGCAGGGAAAAATTAATGAAGTGGCCTACTTTTTACGAGGGCGCATCCGATTTGACAAATGTTTTATTGTTATTTTCTGAAATGCTCAGCTCTATTTTGAGGCATTTTTATTGAAGTCGTAATTCAAAATCCAATTGTTTCACAAAAAAATAACATTCTCCAAAGATCAACATCAGTAGAGTCAAATTAGGTTAACTATCGATAGATTTGTTTTGTTTGACAGAATAACTTGTCTGTGGTTTTTGACGTTTTTGAGGGCTCATTTTATTTTTCACTATTGCTTCATGAATAAAGTAGGCTGTGCAAATAATACTGATAGTTCACTAGTGTGATATTATTGGTAACGTTACATTTCAAAATGTTCATAATTATGCCTCAACATCATAACCTCACCAATAAAATCACATCAGTGATAATGAACTGTCAGAATTTAAGAATGTTTTGCACAGCCTACTTTCCACAGCTAATGGTGAAGAATAAAATTAGTCCTCGAAAATTTCTGAGATCATTAACAAACGAACAAATCTATAAATAGTTCACCTAATTTGACTCTATTGATGTTCAATTTTGGAGAATGTCATTTTTTCGTATTGAAATTGGATTTTGAATCACGAGTTTAAGTAAAATGTCTCGAAATGGACCTGAATATTTCAAAACATAATAATAAACCATATGTATTATGTCAAATGGGATGCGCGCTCGTGAAAAGTATTTCACATTATTCATTTTTTCCCGCTCTTCCCAAATATTGAAACAGATTCACAAAACTTTGCCATACAGAGTGTTGTTTTTGAAATAAAACATATTTTCTGTTTTCTTCAGACGGACCTGGATTCTGATCTCTATATTTATTTAGTTTTGATGTGTCATGTACGTGAGATATTTCACCGAAGTATGAATAGATTATTCAGAGTGGTTCAAAAATTATGACCAGAAGAAGATTTTCCCAAAATCAAGATAACGTCCTATATCTCAGTTTAAAAAGACGGTAGACACATCAACGAGAGGTATTTAGAAACCATCAAAGTGTCCTCTATTTGCAAGTTTCGTAGGTATGTACATTTGAGTGCTGGACCCGCCCTTGCATACTGTAGGTACCTACTATAACTTATATCTTATACATGCAATAAGATAAGGATAAGCCGAGGGAGCTTATAATGTGTCAAAATTGCCTTGAGAATTTAACTTTCCTGATAATTGCAAGTAAAAATCATTACATGAATAATCCAAAAGATGTTCATATCTTATCAGTAAATACACGGTGTCCCTAAAAGGTCTGTACAAAATCTTAGCACATATTGCTGAGGTCAAAATTAGCTGATTTAAAGCAACTTAGCTCAGTCCGAAATTGTTCCGTTTGCGAAATACAGGTTGGTACAGTTGAAAAATAAAATACGTATACCAACTCTGAAAGAGTATTTTAAATATTTCATTCTGAACTGCTAATTCATTGATCAAATTACATACAAGCGATAAAAAAAACATTCTTTATTCCAAATAATTCAAATATTCCAGTGCGACATCGAACTTTAAAAACTTAAATATCTCAAAAATGGCTTACTTTATCGGACTTTCACTAAAGTGCCTTTTTTGTTTGGAACTGTTCAGAAAATCATTTCCTTCGCGAGAAAAGTGAAAAACTATACTGGGAAAAAAGTTATAGCCATTCTAAACCATAATAGTAGGAGAGCCGGCTGATGCAGATTTCTACCGTCATCTGATAACGAAATGATATAATCACTATCCTGAGCAAAATGATTGAAAAATAGCACTTTCCTGTGCGGAAATTTACACTCGATTTCGCGATTTGATAACAAGATAAGAATTATGCGATCCGATACCAATAGTAGATCTCATAAACCTACCTGTGCCACCCCTCAGTCTGAGCCAAATCTACGGCACAGCGATTTATTTGCTCCTATTATTCCAGAAACATACTTCCGTCATGTGATAACGAGTTGAAACAAAAAGAAAATGAAAGGGAAAAATGTTCATTTTGCGAATATCCAAACGTGCCGCCTTTCAAACTGATCCAAGTTAATGTCCGAGCGTCAAAATATGTCCGTGAATATTTCGCCCTCGTCGTAAGATAATATCCGATGAACCAGTGTGAATCTCATGTGTCAAGTATTCTCATCGACATATTGAGATTTACACTGGTCCATCGGATATTATCTTCAGAGGGGGCGAAATATTCTCGAAAATATTTACGCTCTGCCAGTAACTTTGATCAGTAGTTTGAATCGCCGCACGTTTGGATATTTGCAAAGGGGACATAATCTAATTTTTTTGCTTTTTGTTTCAACTTGTTATCACATTACGGAAGTAGATCCTGAATAATAGTAGTAAATAAATCGCTGTGCTGTGGATTTGGCTCAGACTGAGGAGTGGCACATGTAGGTGTTTGAAAAATAACATTCAATTGAAATCGGATCTTGATATCAAATCGCGAAATCGAGTGCAAATTTCGGCACAGGAAAGTGCAATTTTTCAATTATTTTGTTCAGGATTGTGATTGACACAGGTACCGTTCGATAAACTACAATATTTCTACATACCTACCTTCAAAACACATATATCACTTTGTTATCAGCTCTTGGACTATTCCCCCATTCTGGGGAGTGTGCAGTGGTAACGTTCTCCAAAGTGTTTTTGTTTTACAAAAACCAGCCTTGAGATACCTCTATAAACTCAAATTTTGCGATTCGTGAGACTTTACTTCAAGCAACACAACATACTCACGGTAGTGTCAATATTTATACTCGAAACAGTGTGTCTCATAAATAAACACAAAGAAAATTTCATTACAGAGAGTAGGTACGCCACCCGTTGAAGTAACCATCTCAAACTACCATTACCATCCTCCACTCTCGTTAAGGACTTAATTATATAATTATAACGGCTGCAAAATGTACAATCACCTTCCAAATAATATTAAAGATATACCGTCCAGCGGCAAGTTCAGGAAAGCAGTAAAAACAGTTCTTTCCGATAGAGCCTATTATAGTTTGGAAGAATATTATGAGGATAGAATACACTGTGATATCATATACCTTCTGTTTGTTTTATTTTGAATTTTAAATATTTAGAATTTATCAAATTTTTTAATTTTGAGGATTTTTAAATTTTAGAATTTGTATATTTTTTAAACTTTCAATTTTTGAAGTTTTGGATTTCAAATGATTTTTATGAAATTCCATGTTTAAAAAAAAGTGTATATGACTGTTTACATGTTTATGTATGAGTATGCATGCGACTTTCAATATGGGACTGTTTTGATTAAAATCAATTTTATATCATAGTGACTATTTTTATACATTTATCAGATGTTATTAATTTAATTTACATTTATATATACACGCTTTGTCAATAAGATATTATTCTTTGATAATAAAGCATATTTTGATTGATTGATTGATTGATATGAGCTTATGGAAAATTCGAACGAGAATATCTTCATAATATTAGTAGGGCACATACCACACTTTGATAATTTGATGAATGAGAAAATCAATTCTCACTTTTTTCTACTTGCAGTGTTTTTTCATTCATATCATATTTCAATACACCCATAAAATGACAGCAAATGAAAAAAATACCCTGAAGCAATTCCAGGCATTCCTACAACAAATCAAATTCAATACAGCTACCTGTTGCTTACATGGAATATCAACATTCACGCGTTGGCGGCCATTATATGGATAAGGAAGTATGGTTAGATGTTTGAGATGTGTAGCATGAAATGCTAAGGTTTTCTGTACAAATCCCAGCCATCACTCATAAGTCTGATTTATCAGAAGGCTATGGCCCAGTTAACCCTTCTTACCTTAGTTGAAATAAATGTAAGGAACTTACATTAATAACTACCATATGAATCACACAAAAATATGATATTTTTTTTGCTGAAAAGTATACTTACCAGGCCATTTGACAATTTCAAACTCAGACAGACCATTTAAAAAAAAAAAATGAAAAATACATATTCTACTCTCTAAGGTTGATGATGAGGCGCCTGTAGGGAATGCTCAAAATTACTTTTTTTCACAGAAATCCTTATCTGGGCATTTGGAGAATCATAAACCCAGGCCATTGAAGAAAAAAAACTTCTTTTGGGGTAGGTGGGGCACCTGAAGGGGTTGTTGAAAAATATTTTTTCTTTTACAAAATTGTTTCCATACCATTGGACATCTTTTGCCGATCAGGCCGTTGATAAAAAAAATGATTCCATTATATTTTTCCATCCAGGTTAGTAGATATATCATAGATTGATAGCATCCAATTCAATGAACTGTCAAACTATGTGCCAGTTGGCACACAATGAAATTACTTATTTATGTGTGATAAATTGTTTTTATATGTGAATTCCTGTTGGTATCAAGTCATATAATCAAAGAAAATCAGAAACAGTGAGTATTCAATTGTTCTGGTAACATCATTCTATTGATTTTATATATGGTGCCAACCAGACTCCATATTGATTCTAACCTCAGTGGGATTGCCTAATAGAAAATGAATTTTTTTTATTGATCCATTTGAAATAGGAAGTTATTGACATTTTGGAATAATATCAAGAGCTCATGATAGGAGACTCTTTCATTAACATATATCGTCAAGAATCAACTTTTCATCATAACAATGATTGTTGGTAATAAACACATTCAGTTAGTCACTTAATCTGACAATATCTTGAAAACAAATGAAGATAGTAACAATTCAAAATGCAATAGCTCCATAATTTCACTCAGAATTCAGAAATGAATGAATGAACAAGGTCCCTTGGTCTAGAACAGGGTGTTTCATTTGAAAAAACAAAGTTAATTTCACATGGCATTGAAAATTGTGAAAAAAATTGGTCATACAGCAACCAGCAACAACCAACATTTCAGGTTGAACATACTCTTACTTCTCTATAAACCTCTAATGAATCACTTTTTTTTTTTTGATGATAACCTCTGTTTATACATGATGGACTACCTACCCAGGTACCTACTTACCATCTGCAAAGGTTGAATAGGAGAGTTTGTAGAAATAATTTCTTCAGAACGGCTTCTTGTTCTCTTTCTGGACATGGCTCCAATTCGGCAATTAGACTGAATATCTGTAAAATTTAGAATTAAATATTCCACACATTTCTTTATATGATGGGTCAATGACAGAAAGATGAATCATCAGGCATAGGAAAAAAAGAAACTTAGGTTAGATTCCAGTGCTTCCAAGGTAGATTCAAAACATTAAAATGAGGCCTATATTATGGTCACTTATGGTCAACTCTTTGTTCAATTGAGGCATTTGTTAGATGAAGTTGTTGATTGAATTTTTATTGCATGAATTCATCTCACAAGAAAACTCAGAGTAAAGTGGAGTTTTGAGTTTCAGCTCCTCTTGTCATAATTTTAAAATAGAAAAAATCACTGTGACAAAAATAGAGATTGCCTTGAAGAATGGATGATTGAGAACAACAGAAAATAAGTGCCCCTATAATACATACATATTTTGTAAGCAGCCACTGTGAAAGTACTCACCCAACATTGAAAGAATTAAAAAAATATTCTGTATACTTTTCCAAGATACTTGACACGTAGATATTTTGGCGAGATGTTGTCAAATTAAAGTCTGTCGTATCCTCACTGGTCACTATATATATTATTTTCAAATATATCTCTTGTAAAAAAGTGTACAATCCGTATTAAAATGTGTGTTTATCATTGAACCGGATAAAGTAGAGAGGCTTTCTCTTGATACACGTTCTACTCCACCGTTATTACACGTTTACATCTATCAATCCTATCATCCAGCATTATAATCGTGGTCGTTCTATTCTGGTATTGGTTCTATCGGTCGGTTCTATCACGCGATTCGATTTTCACTTGGTCACACCACCAACAATCTCGTAGACACAGCAGAGTCCATACATAATCATGACGAAATCACTGATGATGACGATGTCAGACGAAACTACGAATCAGATGATTGACTTTGGATTGCTATCATCATTCATCACCTATCAATCCTATCATGAATGACATCATTGACCATCTGGGCATCTGATATCAAACTTATTCATAGAAAACAGAGATTAGTCAACCGTTGACTAATCTCTGATAGAAAATAAGCGTACGCCACCTATCGGAGTTTTTGAAAGCTGTCAAAGCGGCCTGTTTACTTTGTTTTCATTTGGTTCACATTCACATAGCATCAAAACAAACCGCTCGGAAGTGTTCCAGTTGTTGCCGTCAGATGAAGCGATGTAATATTTTCTATCAAGATTGGTATAACTGAACTGCCCTGACTACCTGAGCACGAAATCATCAGCTATTTGCACAGAACAAAGGCTACTATGTATGTATGTACCACTGTACCACTGTACTATAGACGTACACTCAAACTGTGGACTGAAGATTTAAAAATTTTTAGGTTAACTTTCGAAGTGTAATGCGTGCAAGAACTGTCAGATGACCGATTGACCGACACTGGAGGCAAAACATTGAAACACAAGTCACTTTTCTTATTTGTTTACAAGTGATCGAAATAGTTTTTCACAATTATTTTGGCATATGAATCGTATTTTTTTGCTATTCATCAATTCGCTCATGCCATCATATTATGCTGTTGTGAAATGCACAAAAACTGCAGCGGAAGACGAAGAAATCCGGTTGGTACATTATGATTTATAAGAAAGTACCTACTATAGTCACTCACATATAGTTTTCATTTTTGAAATTTGGTAATTTCTCTGATTTCTCATCGGAATTCCTTCTGCGATAGGAGCTAATAGAAATACACCTGAGATTTCTAAAATAATGCAAGAAGATTGGATTCATGCAATCAATCGGGAGGACTGGTCTGACATGCTGACGATCGTGTGTGTTGTAGACATTTTCAATCAATTAGCAGTATTAGCTTGTATTGCAGAAGTGGCAGAAGGCAGAAGGAATTTTAATAAGGAATGACAACACATTTCATGATGATAACTATGTGAGATTACTATTTACCTGAAAAATCATATACTTTAGTCTCTTGCTGCATTTTTTGTGCATTGTACAACAGCACAATGCGAAGGCATGCTCGAATTAATGAATAGCGCAAAAAACACGATTCGTATGCCAAAATATTGTGAAAAACTATTTCATTCCTTTGATTCCCCTGTAACCAAATAAAAATGTGAGGTTGTGTTTCAATAATTCACAGAAGAATGAGGTTGTGTTTCAATATTTTGCCTCCAGAGCCGGTCTTCGTGCACGCGACCTATTGATGATCAGCGTTGCCACTGCTCGCTTGATTGACCGAGATCTCGCCAGAGTTCACTATCTTGCTTCTCTTTGTCAAATTTCGCTCGTTTTCACCTCTCTGCTATCATAGTAGGCCACACAGAAAGCTGTTTCTGTTCGGTGACACAGATTAGGCGCAATATTGGATACCGAAGTTTATATTTTTATCTACTCACTGAATCGAAAGTATAGGCGTTTGCTTCCTCATGTAAAGAAACAAAGTTATCAATTCACTCCCACGGGAGGAAACAAATATTAACTCCCTTCGGAGGTAAAATAAATTGGCATCAGCCTTCATCCTTTGGCGTCGATATACTTATAAAATCCAAGTAATCAGTGTCTTCATCCCTATTATAAAACAAATCCCAATAATATCCTTTCTCAATTCCATTTATAACATACGCTTCTTCATACCTAACTTATTACTTCTAATCTTCTAATCAAGATATCCCTCGTTTTTGACAGCATAGCTCGATCGAAAAAACATATGCCTGTGACCATGTGACAACACTGTTGATGATTGATCTGACTAGAATAGTAGAAAACTGTAAACTACTTTGTTCTGTGATCCTCTACAGTCACAGCAAAGAGGAGAGGGCCAGAGGGGACTAACCTATATTCTTTGGTCACAGATTCTACCCACGATGGATTCTGGTGCATCATTATTTTAATAATAATGTGAAATGTGAGTTTCCCAAATCCAAATTCATTAACTGTTAAGAGTCTCCTTGATCTTTTTCAGATCGTTAATCTTTCATCAAACATGTCCCTAATCAACAAATCAGTGCATAAAATCCAACCCTGGGTACCCCTATTGACAACAGTAAGGTTCAGGTACCATGCAGAGAAACTAGAAAGGGGACCTCTAGTCAGACGTTATGGATACAAGGAGAAAATACTGCAAGGAGGTTTGTTACCCAGAGATCCCAATGCCAAAAAACTTCCAATACCAACATACAGACCAAAGGATCCATGGGTTGAAAAGAAGGCACTCTTTGGACAAAATGATTATATTGATATCTTAGGAAATGAGAGACTACATCCTACAAAGATACTTTACAATATGCCTAGGTGGCTGCGTGGTGTAGGAGGACATGAGTTCCAGGTTATGATAAGAAAGAAGAAAATGCTTTCTCAGACTGCATACCCTCTTGCAAGACCCACAAAATGGTATCAACTCAGTAAAAGGGTATCTTGGCTATATAAGTTCTTGAATCGAAAAAAACCAACTCCCTATTATTAGGTTTTGTGTATTAGAATGAGTTTATTATTGTAATAATTCACATTCTCCATTTATCAACTGGTTAGATTCTAGAAATAATGCAGCTGACAGGTTATTCCTGCTGGCATTTAAAGTTTTTATATACCTACCAAAAAATAAACAAAAATTACCAAAAATAATAAATCTTTATTATAAAATATTCAATGAAATCACTGGATATAATGATGATTATCAAATATTACAGTTTCAACAAGTTAAGTGAGCATAGCAACTTGATAATAATATAATTGCATAAAATAAAGGAGGTTCTCCACCTACTGAATACAGATTAATATGTACTTGCTAGTCCTTACCCAAAATAAGACATCTCACCACCTCAGAATTTCATTCAATTTACTAAACAGTGTCAATTCAAGTCCCAATATCTCAAAAACAAGAGTTTTTACAAGAAATTACTTCAACTTTCGGGACATTATGTATCAATATTTTTCACATGGGGTAACTTTTTTGAAAGTGTAAAATACTCATTACAACTATCACCAAAATTGTTAATTTAGAGTTAGAAATGAAGGATGTTTATTTCATCACATTATTTACATTTTACCTCTAACCATAATTGTTGTGTTTTGCATCCTCAGGAAAATATTAAGAAGATTCAATTTGTTTTTTTTTTCATTCATTCTGAAAACCATGTTCAGGTTTTAAATGCCAGTGTACAGGCCAAGGTACAGGTTGATGGTTTGATTTAAATATATGAATATTCAGAATTTTGGCAAATAATACAATAATACACTTTGATGGAAGAATATAATGTAATTACATCATTTATTTACAACCATATATTATGTAAAGTTGTCTCATTGAAGGTTGGAAAGTGTCACATTACACACCTCTACTTCCCGCCCTCACTCATGTAATAATTCAAGTATGTTCAGAAGGAAACATATATTTATTAATTTTGATCCAAATATGATGGTTGTAAATAAAATAGTACCTATAAAAACCTCGGTAGGGAGTTTCATTACTTTCATTCCTGTCTGGAGATGTCTAGGTTTACTAACTAATCTCAATGAATCACTGCCCACCTCGGTGTGCAATATACTATTCCTAATCCATAATCATGTCATATTCAATGATAGAGGGAGAAGGCAAAACATAACCTAATATTGCATACATATAGTTGAAAAAATACAGCTTCAAACAAAATTACTGAAACTATCAGTTCACAATCAAAATTAACTGTAGTAAAATGAAATTCCCATCAATGGTTTTCTAAGGGATTTTATCAGTTATTCTGAGAAATTATTAAAATTCCTATCAAAACATTGTGATGAACAAAGAACAATGATACACACTGTGGGTTATCCAATATAAGTATGGATAGCCATCTTTCATTAAAAATGCAAAATTGGTAAAATTACCGAACTATCAGTACTTTTGATCAGAAGAAAATTACTTCTGAGCTTTTTATCTAAAACTTGAAGTTCTAACAGAAATGAAAAATAATATACATGTGTTTTAATGTAAAAAATCGAAAAGGCAATGCTCAATAACATTTTCATTTTTCAATCATTGAAGGTGTCAAAAATACTGCTTTTTTGCTAATTTG